GAGGTGGGCGCTCACGGACCATCAGCACGTCTCCTGTGTAACTTGCCTTCTAACTTACTATGTTATTAGCAGGCAGTGGGGCCCCTCCAGCTGTGGAGCTAAAAGTGCAAGACACACGCACAGTGCTGGTGCAGGGGCAGGGGCGGGGCACGCTGGCCAGTTGTCTTCCCGTGGGCAGACATGTGTGCCCAGTAAGGCCGCTGCCTGTTCTGCTTCGAACTGTCCCACATATTGGGATGGCTGTTCACCCAGAAGGACACAGCTGTCCCTGGAGCAGAGTGCTCCCAACCTCACTGTGTGAAGCAGGGGCCAACCTCTGATCCCCACAACTGTCACCTGTCATAGCATCTTACAGGGACCTCACCCTCCTTGCCTGGTGCCAGACCCTGAGGAAGCCAGGTGGCAGGAAGGCCTAGTCCTTGAGAGCTTGAGGCCACGTGGCCTGTGTCTGGATCCTTCTCAAAACAGGAGAGGCCCGACCACCCTCGGTCTAGCCAGGGGCTTCATCAGCACCACCACCTGCCAGGTCTCGCCAGCCACATCAGGCCTGAGCGAAACCCTGAGCCCCCTCAGCAAGCTGCACAGGCTCCCCAGAGAGTGCCGCCTTCTGCTGTCGCCTCACCTGGGTGGGCCTCATCCAAGTGGGCGCACATCTGCACGTGAGACAGCCCGAGAACGTCAGTCAGACCTACTCATGGAGTAAACTCTCATCCCCTCTCCTCTGACACGCTAATACGAGGCCCGTGACCAGCAGTTAGTGTCTCCTCAGTCTGAGAGTCCTGGTGAAGACAGAGACAAGACAGGTGGTCTGGCAGGGGCAGGGTGACTCTGACATTCACGGCGTGCAAAGTGGCACCCCAAAATAAAGCCCACAGGAGGGCCCCCTGCCTGGTCCCGCTCACCCTTGCTGGCTCACCTCAGGCTGCTGTCTGAGCCCAGAAGGGAGGCTGAAGCCCTGAGCTGAGCTTGGGTGCACCGCAGATGGGGAAGCAAGTCCTTCCTGCCATCGGATACTGCAGATGTCGCCCTCCAGAAGCACAGTTCGGTCCGGCTCTTTCCCAGCTCCCCCATGGGTGATGGAGCTCATGGGACTCAGGCCACGGGAAAGCTGGGGTGGGGGAAGGAGCTGTGCCACGCCCTGGCTGCCCTCATCCCGGCAGGCACTTCCGCACTGCGGTCCCTGGGCCATCCTCCAATCCTAACCCAGGCCATTTCTCTCTAACTCAGCCACAAAAAATTTCAAGAAAAAATGTTTTCAAGTATTCTCAAGGCAACTGATGCACAGCTGGCAGGTCTCCGGGCCCCAGGGCCCTCCCGCCCGCACGTGCTCAGTCCTGCCGCTGCTCCTGCTGGTCCCCACTGGTGTTTGCATCTCACACTTCACGGGGTCAGGGTCCAGCTGCTCGCCCAGATTTCCACTCAGAGTGACTTTGCAGCAACACGGTTCTTGCCGGCGCCACTTCCAGAACATCAGAGAGGAGAGAGACGGAGACAGAGAGACAAGGGGAGGGAGACAGAGGGAAGGGAGGAGAGATAGAGTGATGGAGGGAAAATAGGAGAGAGATAGAGATGGGTAGAGAAGAGAGATACATAGGCAGAGGGAGGGGGCAAAGGTGGGGGAAAGACAGGTGGGGGAGGCAGAACGACCTGGTCCCCAGCTCTGTGGCCCAGGTTAGAGTCACGTCTTCACCTCAGCCTCCATTCCCCACCAGGATTGGCCGCTACTGCAGCTTTCTTCCTCCACACAGATGGTTCAGAACTTGACACCCCAAAAGATCTGGCTTTAGCATGTCAATCATCTTGAGCTGAAGGAACTGGAGAGATGACCTCCCCTTCCTACCTACCAGGGCACAGACTTCTCGTGAGAAAGGCACTCTCCCGGGCCAGGAGAAGGGTCTCGCCACCAGAGTGAGAGGCAGAGATGAATCTGCACTCCCAGCTCTGCTAGCAGCCCCATCTTCCCTGAGCGTCACTGGACATGCCCTCGCCTTCCCTCCACCTTGTCACATCTGCCCTACTGACAGTCTTTGCTCAAACAGTCCATAGGCTCTTGGGCCTATCCACTTCTTTCTGAGTCTTTATTTCTTCTATATAAGGACCTCCATATAGGTACAAAAATATTACAGCCAAGTAAAATCGTCATGCTTTTCTCCTGTTAATCTGTGTCTGTTCTATCCCCAGGCCTATCTTAAGGTAGAGAAAAGTTTTTTCCTCCCTGCACCCCTTGAAATGTATCCACACTTTCCTGGACTCACGGGCATGTCACCAGAGCACCACAGGGAGCAGCAACACAGGTGACAGGAAGGTTTCCCTTTAACCTCTTAGCGGGGCACCTCCTACTTTCAGTGGGTTTGTGCTGCTGTGTGTCCTCGGGCTTTCCCTGCCCCTGTCCCGGCAGCCCCTGCCCCCTGCCACATTCTGCCTCCTCACCCGGA